CAAGGCGATTTTCATTTTAATTTGTATTTAATTTAAATACATTTGTACATTTGATATTAGAATAGAATTATTTAAAAAAAAAGAAGGTGCGCATAAAATCTTTTGAGCTGCTAAACCAAATGGGATTTATGATCTTTGCTTTACAGCTTGTAAAGCGGTTTTATTGGATTTGGCCGCACCACCCGCTGTGTCTGTTGGCTTGGTCGGGTGGGTGGGTGCGTTCAATTGGCCATAAGCTGCTCAGGACCTGCACGCGGCACAGTTGGCATTGACACCCGAGTGAGCTTTTATTTTTTTTATTTTTAGAATTTTTTTTTGGGGTGCGTAGCATGTCAAAGGTTAGCTCATGCAATTGTGGTTCCATTTCAGTGTATTTTTTACTCGTCAGCCGCCCCAGGCGAACTCACCCATGAGCCACCCGCTGCCCAACCAGCCAACCACCCAATGAAAAGTGGTTTTAAATTCCATTAAATAAAGTTGTTCAAGGTTTAGTTGCTCGCACTTGAGAATTTTCACGCATATTTTGTTGCGCACTTTTGTAAAATTTATTAATATTTTAGTGATTTTAAATGGATTTCGTGTGTTGCTTGGGGTTACACAGTGTTTGTATGTGTGTGAATGGGTGTGGAGTGTGTGTGCGTGTGTTGATGTGGTGCGAATAGCTGGAAAGGTATTTCGCATTGGGGTTAGGTGGACATGCCTTGACATGATTTCTATTAAGCGAATCGCTCGTAATTGAGTTGAGAGTTTCGATGTTAAAGGTTGGTAGGGTTTGCTTTGGGGGTTTTTTTTTTTTTCGTTAAATGGGACTTGAAGGCAAATTTTAAAGTATTTGCTAATAATGAGCTAAAATAATGATAATTATAATAATAATCAACGTATATATAACGACATCATTAAGCATATGAATAGTTTGATTATTAATTAATAAATATTATTATATTCAATTATGGCATATTTGCCAGTCAAACACAAATTCCTAGACAACATCAATTAGCAAGCAAACTTACCTTTGTTCGTAGCTGCTGCTGCTGTTGCTGCTGTTGTAATTGCTGTTGTTGCTGTTGCTGCTATTGTTGTTACTGGAGGTGCGGCTGCTGCGGGTGTTGCTGTGGTGGGGCTGTCGGGGTTTCCAGCGCAACAAAGTTGACCATTCGGCTGCTCGTAAATGTGCGACTCCTTGTTCGGAGTGGCGGCAGCAGCAGCCAAGGCGAAGGTTGTTGGTGGGCTGCTATTGTTGTTGTTATTGCTATTGTTGCTGTTGTGCTTGGGAGTTGCTGTCATGGCATTGCCATTGCCATCATAGACGACACCATGCCAATGATTTTTATGGCCATTCGACTCCACCTGCTGCTGCTGCTGTTGCTGCTCCTGCTCCTGCTCCTGCTCCTGTGGCTCGTCCTTGTTGCTTGGCTCGGCAACATCTCTCAGTCGCTGCAGTTGATGCTCGCGTATGAGGCGATCCCGTTCGTGAAAATGCCGCACGAATTGCTGCTCGCCATTGTGACGTGGAGGTTGCTGTTGTTGCTGTTGCTGTTGTTGCTGTGGGGTTAATGACTTTGTTGCATAGCAACTAGCGCTGGCTAATGTCTCTGTCTTAGCATACGTTAGTCCGGGCAGACTATTTATTGTGCTTCCTGTTGCTGTTGTAGCCAGTGGCTGTCGTTGCTGCTGCTGCTGCTGTTGTTGTTGTTGATAATGATGTTGAAACATAATTTCATGCAATGGTATCAAAAACTCTGGCAGCAATTTGTGCGCCTTCGCCGTGACGGCTGCTGTTTCGTAGCCAAAATATGGCAGACATGTCTGCGGCTCCAGGCCCACGCCCACGCCTACACCCAGTCCGAGCCCGACGCCAAAGGGTGGCAACGCCGCCTGACTGCTAGCTGCCACATAGTTCAACAATTCAGCATCCTTATTGTTGTTGCTGTTGTCATAATTATGATATCCAATGGGCCGCATATACCAGGGACTCGGCATTGTTTTCGTGCGACAGCTTGCCATGGCTATAAATCAAGAGAGAAGGGGTATGAAAAGGGATATCATAGGGAATATTCGTAAGGCTATAGTGAATGACTAGACAAATACCCTGTAACTAAAAAGAACCTTGATTATATGTGTGAATTTGGAAAAGTTAAGCGGCATTAAAAAGGGTATCATATGAAATATGTTTTAGGCGAAAAATGAAGGACTAGAGAAATACCCTGTATATTCAATAATAGCCTGAGATTTATTCTATTTTCAAGGAATATTAAAAGAGAGTGTAAAAGGAAATACGTTTTAGGAGATGACAAGCGACTAGACATATACCCTGTAATATATGTATATGACTAGTTTAGACTTAGGTCAGAGTTGGAATATATTTGCCTAGTCAAACAACATTATTTATTTTAAGGGTGAATCTAAACCCTGCTTCAGTCGATTATACCTCTTTTCTTTTAACACCCAACAGAGTGTAAAGAACAATTGCATTTTTATTGACACGAAAATGAAGTGAGAATTTGCTATTTTTTAGCCCAAAAAAAAAGGTGGAATGAAAGGCAAAATCAAGGCATAAACTAGGCACAAACTAGCCGTAAAAAGGGTTGAACATCATCATTAACAGCACTTGGCGCCCCAGCAACTACCCCTATTTAGATAGTCCAACCCTACCCAACCACCCTACGTGTCACTTAGCTAAACCAGCTGCCATATTGCTCGGCTAGTTGCCTCTGTGTCACTATCAATTACTCATCATTATTGTGAGCTACGCCTTTTAGGCATCAACATACAAAAAGTGTAGTGAAATCCACTGCCTAATGCAGTGCGTATTTCAGGGGGTTGCACGCCATTTTAAAAAAACTACAAAAAAAAAAAAAAGCATGCTTAGTTCATAATCAGTTTTTGAACGTCATTCGATTCGTTTATGACTTTGATTGATTATCAATTTTTGACAAATCAAAGTAAAAACTAAATTGCAGAAAATCTGAACATTTGCGTTGGAAGCGTGGGCGTTACGTGGCGATAAGCGTGGCTGGCCACGCCCATTTGGAATATAGCAGGCCCCCTGTTTTTGCTGGCTTGCAGCTCTATTATATGTATGTTTTATATAATAAAGAGGCGTTACGATTTTGATTTATAATCAGGCATATCGTTATATTTGAAGGATAGATCAAAGATGTTATAGTGTATATAATAGATTGGAGACTAGTATATATACATATATATTTTTGGTGGTAAAGACTCCCCATTTCTATTAATTATCAATCCGTTCTTATTTATTGTATTTTGTTTTTATCCATCTATTTTATTCTGTTTTTACTTGAATCTCGTATGTATCAGAAGTACTAAAAATTGCCTGCATATTTATACCCTGAACCCATTTTCAATGGGAAATCAGGGTATAATGGTTTTGTTGAAATGTATGTAACAGGGAGAAGGAGGCGTGGCAGACCCCACAAAGTATATATATTCTTGATCAGGGTGACGAGCTGAGTTGATTTGGCCCTGTCCGTCTGTCTGTCCGTCTGTCCGTCTGTCCGTCTGTCCGT